GATCTTATCGCGGTAATAATTCTACCGTGCTTTCTCCTTCAGGGCATCACTTCTAGCCTTATCACGTTCCTGCCGTTGAAGTTCTACTTTGGCCTCCTAAAGGCAAGTTAAAGCGTTTCAATAAGTCAGCAAATTGAAAATTTATCGTGATAAGTAGGTCCATGCAGAGTTACTATAGATTGTTTGAACAATGTTAAGAATTGTTAACACCTTTACCTTTTCTAATTTTTTTAGTCGCAACTCTTCTAATTTAAATTGCCTTTCGGCTTCCAAGGCACGTCGTCGCTCCTACAATTTATAGGATCATAAATAACTTAGTTAATCATTGACAGTATTCTGACAGTAATCATTGACAGTATTAAATTAGTTCAAGATATCTAAACTTTACTCGAACTAACCAGCGCAGCTTCTTCCTTTGCAGCTTGTTCTTCGAATTTTCTTTGCCTCTCGGTCTATCGAGTTAAATTAAATAGCAGAAATTGTACTAGTAATTCAATGTTGACACCTGCATTACTGCATTATTTAAGATGAATTCTTATCAACCTGAATGTCCTTCAAACGTTCTTTGTGATTCTAAGAAATATTTTTGTTTCATAAATTACAAATCAATACAGTTTTATCAGAATTAGCAGTTAGTAATTGAAGTGTTAAATTATGCGTAGATCATTCGTGCTCAAACCTGATGTCTCGAAAATACTTCAATCCTCTTATTTTGGGCTTCCAATGAATTAATAAACGCAATCTCACTAATCTGTAGAACATGATTTACATTATAGTAATAAATATTCAAGCACACGTATGCAAACTATATAGATAATTCACGTCTAAGCGCTCTTATTAGACATTGCATCTTTAACTGACTTTGGCATCTTCTTCCTGAGCCTTTCGTACTATTTCTCGTAGTTGATCAAGTCTCTTTTGTTCAGCTGTTGTATGCTTCTTTTCAAAGTATTCTTTCTTTTGTCGCTGCATCTCTTCTTGCTGCTGTCGAATTTTTTTCCCCTAAATATAAAATTAGTAGTATTTCATATCAGTATTTCTACAACAATTCGTCATAATCCTGGTATAAATTTTGTTTAGCACTAACAAAAATATACCTTTTCTAAGGTTGATTTTACTTTTTTTAATCTTTCTTTTTGATTATAATTTCTTCGCTCTGCAGCTTTCATCTATTATGTGACGTCATGCATATGTTATTTAATCGATGTACTTTTTATCAATTTAAATAGCCGAACAAATGTTTATAATATATGACGGAATTGAGCACATCAACTGCAGCCAAATGTATTACTGACTTGGCGTTCGTCTTGAATTCGCTTAGTTTCATCAAGAGGTCTGTAATTATAGCGACAAGCAATAACATGCTGATAAGTCATGTATACTGAATCAATTTTATAGCCAATAATAAGATAGCTATCAGTTTATGGCTGTTTTTATTAACTATTAAATGCTAAATTTATTTGAAGATACCTTTTCCTTGGGGAGGACAGTTTTTGATGAATTTCAATGACCCTACCTGGAGGCCTAACATTGGAATCAACATCTAGAAGTTCCATTCTATCTGCCAAACTGAGATTTCTGAATTCGTCTTCAATAAAAAATAGCAAATTTTACTCAAGGATCTTAAAATTCATTTCACCAAAGCAAGAATAAGTCATATATTATTGATAAACTACCATTGGCTTCTAAAAATGGGATAATGTCTTCATCGCCGTAATCATCCTAACATCGTTTAGAAACGCCGTCACATTACTAGGCCATAATACTGCATAAAGTATTTAAATCAAAAGTAAAGTACACCTGAAGTTTTTGCAAGTCTGTTTCATTTCTAACAGAATCTGATTGTTGGTTACTCCCTGTAAGAAGATTCAGAAAATTGACTTCAAAATTGATTATTTGATCATATAATCAGAAAGCTAAATTATATTTTTACAATTTGAGGTCATTATACAGTTTCAATAATAGGCAAAAATGCAAGTAATATCTTACGGGTACGCTTAGATTTCCCGTGGTGTACGAGGGTCCATTCACCATCGTTATCGATAGAATCATTGTCTTTTTTTGTTTGCGACTCCGTAGTTACTACCTAC